TGTTTTTTTAAATCAGATTTTAGTAATAATTCATGTCTAGAACTTTGCCCTTTGATATATGGCCCCCGGTGAATCGATAAAATAAACTGATCCTGAACTGAATCACTGCAGTCGTTATAAGTGACTAACATGGTCGTTAAGTGAATCTGGCTTCATCGTTGACTTTGCTTCATGGGAAGATCACCAAAAAGGGGGTCGTGTGACTCCCCCGGGACACTGCAACTATCATAAAGATGAGTTGGCTATCAAACATCTGAACTAGGATCGCGTGCCCAGGTGGGCAGGCTGCCATGGTCATAAGAGTGAAAGAGTTGTAGGTCATAAGAGTTGTAAGTCATCTTTTTTTTCCCAGTGGCACGGTGACTTTGAGCAGTCACTAAATGAACTGTTGTTTAAGTTGAGGATCACCTGTAACTTAATCCAAGAAGGGAATCTGAGTTGGGAAAACAATTTTGCATAGTTTTTCACGAAGATAGTTTGCTCCTTGGTCGTTACGGGAAGAAGAGTTAAGAGTAGTTAATGGGCATAATTTACATAGAGGTTTGCATTAAGAAAATGTAAGATTACAGGTGTCAGGATTCCAGCCATCGCCCTAATTAAATCATGATCCTCAAGTCAAACTTCAAAAAACTTCAAAGGATTTATTAGAGGCGACATACTGGCACTGCCTCGGATGAAGCCAACTCTGGCATATGTAATTTACAGTCACCTGTGACCCTGTTTCCTCCGCTTCCCCCTGGGTGTCTCATAAATCAGATTCTCCAATTAAATAAATTCATGGGCAAAAGCTCTGGTAGTTTAGTTACAATCTTTTAAAGATAAGAGTTGGAATGTACTTTCGCTTTCAAACTGCTGCACTGCTCTTTCAGATATCCTTCCTTCCCCCTACTTTTTTTTTAATGGCAACTACTAAAACAGGCATAGGAATGTTTTATGACTTGACAACAGGTAGTCCTCAACTGATGATGTCAGGCCCCTGTTGGAGACTGACTCCGAGGGAGAGGAGGAACAACCGACAGGAAGTGGAAGTGTGGCTCCGAAGGTTGTGGAGGAGGCTGGGAAAGGGCAGAGGCTGGCTGAGCAGTCAGAGTAGGACCCAGGCCCATCCCCTCTCCATCTTAGGGCATGCAGAGAGGAGAGGATAAGGGAGAGATGTGGTCTACTGGGGCGGAGTGGGCCTTGATCCTCTTCATGGGCTGCAGATGTGACAACTGAATAAGAGGACGGAAATGCGTACGAGCGAACGCTGGAAACAAAGCGTGGAAATATCTCTAGTTTATGGTTCCTCTCTGATTTTGGTGTCCTTCGCAGTGTGTGTTATCTGTGGATGTCCTCCAGCCCTTATCTTGCCTGGTTTGTGTTGCTTTTTTCCTCCTTCTTGTAACTGTTTGTGTGGGAGTTTTTTGTCTTCTGTCAAGAATCTTCAGAGCTTGGAAGCAAAGTGAAGGAGTAAAAGGGGCTTCACTTGTTTTCTGTGACGGTGTTTGTTTTGTATCCCACCCTGGGTCATCACAGATGACCACAATTGAGCCCAGAGTGTATGTTGCTAAGCAAGACCTTTGTTAACTGAGTTTCGCCCCGTTTTACCACTTTTCTTGCCCCATTGGGGAAGGGAATCGCTGTGGTTTCTTCAATTAGCAACATGGTCATTAAGTGAATCTGGCTTCCCCACACTCATCAGAAGGTAGGCAAAGGAGATCCTGTGGTCTCCAGGGATGCCGCAACCATCATAAATATGAGTCCGTTGTCAAGCACCCCGAATGGCAATCACGGGGGAATGCCGCCACGATCACACGTGTGAAACCCAGTCGTATGAGTCCCTTTTTCGGTCGCTAAATGAACTATTGTGCGTTCTAAGGACTAGCTGCCTTAGAAGAATTAGACTTATTGGATTATGATTGGGGGGAAAGTGGATTTTGAAATCAAGAGAAAGTGGACAGATCTCAAATCAAGGCAATCATCACTGGAAGATGTCAGATAGAGGAAAAAAAAAAAAAGAGGCAAGAAAGGCTCAGGTTATTTTCCTTTCTCAAGGTCAGTAAACTGCCCCAGCTTGTCACATCTGTGGTAACGATTCACAAGGTCGCAAATTTTTTTCTCTCCCACCCAAGACACCAGCTGGTCATAAAAACTGATATTTTCAGCCACCTGGAAATATTTTGGTTTTTTTTGATCCAGTTTATCAGAAACGCTTCAGTTTCAAGTTTGCTTTCCCAGCGTAGCCTTCGATGTTTTACCACCTGCTTGTTTGAAAATATCCTTCACTCTTACAGAAGGACTGATAACGTAACCACAATATGAATACACACACACACACACACACACACATATGTGAATATTCTTATTCACATTATTAAATATATATATATATATATATATATGTGTGTGTGTGTGTGTGTGTGTGTGTGTGTGTGTGTGTTTTCTTAAGCTGAATACCATATATACATACATACATACATACATATATATGACTTTAAAAGACTTTCAAGTAAGCCAAAACCAGCAACCACGAGCATATGTGTCTGTCTGTCTGTCTGTCTATCATCTGTCTATCATCTCTCTCTCTCTCTCTCTCTCTCTCTCTCTCTCTCTCTCTCTCTCT